GCCTTTGCAAGCTTGTCACTATTCCTCTTGCCTTGCGCATCTTCATCGTTCTTGCCTTCCTTGTCGCTACCGCTCTTGCCTTGCTCATAACCCACCTTCTTGCCTTGTTCTAAGCCTGCAGCATAACCTCGTTCATAGCCTTCCCTGCGACCTTCTTCTCTAGCAGCTATCTCTGCCGCCTGGATAAGAGGCTGGCGATATTCCTCCTCTATCTGAACAAGCTTATCGATGGTCTTTTGAATGATGTATTTCGACGAGGTAATGAGGCCAGCTGCGAGCTCGTCCACCTTTTCATCGAACTTCTTCCGAGCTATCGCCTGAGGATTAGGTGTTGTATTAGGCGCTTCCGGCGAAGCTGTAGTAGCATCGGGTGCGTCTGATTCGGGGTCCCGTTTCATCTCAAGGAGGTTCGGCATTGTGCCCTGGTACTCTTCAAGTGTCTCTGCCTCTTCACGCTCTTCGAGACTGCTTTTCGCCGTGACCTTGTTTTCTCCACTCATGTCTTCTCCAACTGTGTCTTCCTTGACTGCGCTTGGAGATTCGGCGGCACGGTCCGTCGCAGACGTTCGATCACGATCAGATGGCGGATCGGCTAGCTTTGCTGACGGTAATGATACGGAACTAGTTGATAGATTCCGTGAGCGCTTACGGTTTGCGGGTGGGCTACTCATATGGTGCAGTGGACTTGCTAGGGTGAACAGCTTTAATTGAGTCTTGTCTTGTCTTGAGATTGGTGGCTGATGTTTCTGGTGATGTACGTGTTCATATAGTGGCTGCTGTGTTTGGTAGGAAGTAACTAGCCCTTTGTGGAATGTTTGTCTCGGACGTTTCGAGCGTTTGTCGCTTTGTCAGACTATGCATTGCCTCTCCGTAGGGATCAGGGAAGGGACTACCGTGCATATCTCAAGCACAAGATCTACGGAGTTTGCGTGCAGTCAGTCTATGACCGGCATGATAGCATGTCACTTACTGCGGCTCCCTACCATCTCACACGTAGCTCTGTGGGGTCCCGTCACTGCCTGCAATTCATCACATGCAACAGCCCGTTTTGTGTTCGAGATAGTCCAGTCCTCGTGGGTATACCGCTGGAGCCAGAATCGATTGATATCATCTATGCCACACTATGCATCCTCATACGCACGCCATTACTCCTACCGACCCATGCTGTTGATCATCTCCCTCTGTGTCGCGCGGTCCCGGTTCGTCTGGCTGAGTGATGGGATGCTCCTCAGGTCACCCACAACGTCCTTTGCCTTTCCAAAGTATACCTCCTGCAGCAGATTGCGCATCTTGAGCTCCATGTCCTCGACCATCTTTCCAATGTTGGCGACGTGCGAGGTGTCATCCTCGACGGCCATGTCGGCTTCCACTTGGCGCACCATATTACCGGAGAGGTCAAGACCGCCGAGCGCTTCGCTGTCGGTGCCGAGGGAGAGGATGACGGTGGAGGTGAGCTTGTAGTGCGAGGTGCGGGCGCGGTCTTGGGCGTCGAAGACGTGGATGCTGTCCCAGCTGCCGGAGCTCTTGGGCGTGGGGTTGACGGCTGCGTGCATTAGCATGTGATGGATGTGTAGACCCAAGACTGCGTACCCTTCTTCAGCAGGACACAGCCTGCAAAGCCGTCGTCCATGTCCCACAGGTACACGCTCGATATGCCGCCCTCGAAGTACCTGTCTATATCAGCCAAGCTCTCCAAGCTGCCCCTTCCCCCTGTGTGCACTCACAGCTCCCGGTACACGTCAAAAGCCTCGTTCGCCTTGACCTCCATCTTACGGACACGATCGCTAGGCGTGACACCTTCCTCAATGGGCGGCTCGAACTCGTTGCTCCACGGACTCCTCCAGCTGTCGCCGTCGCGGTTGTAGTCGCAGCACAGGAAGTCGCGCTTCGTCTTGGAGCATTTCTTCACGGTGAGTGGTATGTCGACGGACTCGAGCAGGTCCTCTTCCAGCGAGGGGTTGAGCTGGATAATGTGGTCGACATTGCGCTTGACGTCCTTGGGGTTCAGTCGGCGCAGAAGGTCGCTGACACGGCTTGTTAGCTATCGCCGTGGGAAAGGCGGGGTCGGGGAAGTCTCACAGGGCGCTGTCAATGGGGTCCGCCATGATTCTGATGCGGGTCTTGGGCGTGTATCGCTCGGGCGTGATCAAGGTCGGGTTGCTCGAGTATCGCTTGGGTCCTAGCCCCGTCCCCTCAATCTCCAGCGGCTCCTCCGTCGGCGATTCGCTGGCCGGCCCACACGAGTCAGGCGAGTACAAGCGTTGGTACCCCATCCCCGCGACGCGTCAATTCACGCAACAACACCTCAACTCTCTTTTTCGTTGTCGCTGATTATCGCGTTGTATGGGTTGCTGTCCATTCCAGGAAGGGTGTTTGTCCTCGCGTCACAAGGCTTGTGGCAGCAGCGGCCTGTTTCTGTCTCTTTCTCTCAACAATCGCGACTTCCGTCGTCAAGGACGAACTCTTTCACTTCCATCATGACGTGTTGTCAGCGCTCTTCAGGGCTTTCTTTTGATCATGATAGATGTCGTCTCGTCGAATAAGCGCTTTTCGTTGTGGCAATACAATAAAACTCGTTGCGAGTATGCAGACAGTCGTTTGCATTGACTGCCACTTTTGCTCATGGAATAGCAAGCAAGAAAGAGCTATCGTCATATCATTTATACAAGACATGAGGGGGTAAGACCTCTGGATTCCAAAGTGTCTGCTCTCATACCATATCACGTAAGGCAGTCCGATATCGAGGTGCGGCTCACCTTCACTTCGTCGTGGCGCACGTGTGCGTGTCCGATGGCAGGCGACCAATAGCGCGTGCTCAATCCAGGGTCTCGCATCATGAAGTCGAGGTGAGGGCCGTATTTGGCTTATCTGTGTGCGCCGTCTATCCTTGTGTGCTCACCTTCACTTTCCTGCCATCGCGCTAATCCCCCGCATTCATAATCTGAATCCGTCTCCCTCCTGCATCCTCTTTACAACTTGACCACCAACACACTGCGACCAAATTCAAGCACACCCCGAAGATTCATCATGTCTGACAACGATAACACCGCCGTCGCCAATGGCTCTTCTCCTCAGTTCACCGAGCGCGAGCTCCAGCTCCTCGGATGGGCCATGCAGTCCCTCAAGTCCGGTCCTCCAGAGGTAGGTCACCATTCCCTTTCAACTCCTATCACACTACTCACACCCGCTGTAGATCGACTACGAGAAGCTCGCCGCCTACGCCGGTATGAGCAACCCGCGCTCAGCTAGCAACGCCTGGGCAAAGCTCAAGCTCAAGTTGGTGACACCCTCTCCCGACGGCGCCGTTCCCGCTACACCCAAGAAGACTCCTCGCAAGAAGGCCGCTGCTGCCAAGCAGGAGGATGGCGAAGAGGGTGCCGACGCGACTCCCAAGAAGACTCCCCGCAAGCGTGTCGCCAAGAAGCAGGACGTCGACGGCGAGTCCTCCCCTAAGAAGAAGGCTGCTCCCCGTGGCAAGAAGAACGAGAGTAAGTGACCATCCTCGAGCCTACATTGTCATTAGGCGACCTACTTTGCAAGTGTTCAGCTTGATGTAGGCTGCAGGCCTTTTCAGTGTTTTCCGTTTCGATCTATTCAATGCTAACATTCCGCAGCTGTCAAGGCGGAGTCCGACGAGGAGGCCCAGACCGGCGGCTCCCCTATGAAGATCGATCCCGCCAAGGAGGAGATCGTGGAGGATGAAGTCTAAAGCTGTCTCGCGACCCTGACGTAAGTCAACGATTTGGTCAGCTTTTCTTTGTGTTCTTGTCACTGGCTTTAAGAGGGCAATGCACAATGTCTTTTCCTACTGGCGGAGCGCACATGGATGGAAAAGCTGGCCTTCAAGGAATTGTACATAAAAGTCCAGCACGGCGTTTGGAGTACCACGACACCATGAATGGTTTCCCGAAAAGGTAGCGGCGGAGTTGAAATGTTCCCAAGATAGCGATCGCAGCTGCACATCGCGCATCTCCAATGCTCATCTTTCATCATATCGACCACTTGCATTTCGACATGAATGCGTGACATGACTACTACTTACCTGTTCCCGGTACGCATTAAACCCTGTAGGTGTGGCAACGCACATGTATCCCAGCACCAGGGTGCTGTAGCCGGATATTACCCCAGACTCTTGGTCATGCACAGCTCATATGCACATAGCACGTACAGATCACCACTCTAGAAGACCTTTCGCGATGCGCATGCCGCCAAACAGTATTGCGGTCCGTACGCATCAAACTCCGCACACAGTCGCCAGATGTTCATCAACACTGCTGCCCGCATGATGCAATAGCCGTCGCACTCAATACCACCAGCTTCTCTGAGCTATAATCAAATATTTAGTCATGGCGCGACAGACTCGCGATCACAAGCAAGGCATAGACGCAGCGACGTTATCGCCTGTAAAAGGGAAATCGGAGCTCGTAAGGAATACCTACACTTTCTACACAGAGACGACTAACATACATTGCAGGCGAGCGCTCATAGCACAACTTGCTTACTGCTGCTGCTGTTCATACCTCTCGCTTCCATTGGCATCTTCTATACGAGTGCTCAGCAGGTGCTCCTGCCTGTACTACACGCGTACTTGCCCAAACAGCTTCAATCGTACCTGCTTTTATCGGCACGGGAAGCCACTCCTTATTCACAAGAGCCGCTGAGTCTAAAGAGCCTGGTCAAAGCATGTGCAGACCACCAGTACACAACTGAAATCATATCTCTCGATCCCCTCTTGATCTATATCAACAACTTCACCTCAGCGCGAGAGGCAGAGCAGCTTATCAGCCTCGGGTATGCCTACTCGTCTCTATTCTGTATAGGCTCTGAGTCACGGTCACGACAGTCACTGACCCTCTCTTAGCTCTTCTGAATTCGCGGAATCCTTCATCAGCCGCTCGCGAGGCAACACGCAGCGTGTGACAGGGCGAACTTCCCAATCCGCGCCGCTCCCACTGGGAGACCCGCTTGTCGAATGCGTTCTTAATCGTGCGCGAACGTTCATGGGCTCCATGCTACTTCCCTCCGAACCTTTCAGCATCCCGCAACTCGTGCGCTACTTCCCCGGCCAGAAGTACAACCTCCACACAGATTTCTGGCCCGAACACCAGATCACCACTCTCGAAAATGGAAGGCGGGTCTACTACAACCGCGTCGCGTCGTTCTTCGTCTTTCTGCGCGATAATTGCACGAATGGGTATACGTCTTTCCCTCTAGTCGAGCCTTCGTCGTCTATCGATCTAGAAGGTCTCTATCACGGCAAAGTAGCTCATGGGGAGATGGATGGAGAAGCTCAAGGCATTAAGTTCCAGCCCATTCAAGGAAACGCGGTGTTTTGGGTTAATTTGGACAAGCACGGCAGCGGCGATAGAAGAGTCGTACATGCTGGCTTGCCTGTGGGCGAAGGAGAGAAGATTGGACTGAATCTCTGGCCTAGAAAATACTTTGGGTACGTGGACGGTGATAGTGTTGATGAGGCAGAGACGGCGCAGGCGGCACGGCAGGGATGGAGTGGGAAATGGAAGGACTAGGTAAAGAGCATTTTACCAACCTTTCGGGTCATCGAAAACGAACCCAAATATCGCATTTAGCGCATATCTATCCATTGAAACAATCTATAGCATTTCAAAACCTTAATATTCCAATTACCCATCCAAGGCCGACGCGCAAGGCCATCCCCATGTATACGAAACAATGACGCGCGTTTCAGGCCATGGCAGATAAAGTGACGCTCAGCATCCGCACATGAACTAAGACAGGGCGACGCCGCATCCAAGAAACCCGGTGGCTGCCGTGTAACACCAAGGCAGTCATGTAAATTGCGGCGCATCGGTCATTGCATAGCGGCCTCGCACTGCGTGCGTCCCTATCAAACACATCAGTCTCACAAAGCATCATAAGTCGACGAACACACTTCACACACTCCAGAACCGACATTCGACAACCTTCCTCTGCGATCCTCTAAGATATACCCGAATATTTCAAAATGCCACAAATCATCATCACCTACCCGGCCCTGCACCTACCACACTCGAGTCCCGCGCCCTCCTTCCCCGACTACCCCACACTCCACAAATGTCCAATGTACATTGCTCAATTCATCGACCCCATGATCCGTTCCTGGAATCTAGGGCCTGGATTCTGTACGCGCGACAATCTTTTCGGTGTCAGCTATTTGATCGTCTTGGGCGTGAATTACATCCTCGCTATGATGGCTTTCTTTATGGTTGTCGCTGTGCTGAGAAAAATGGTGTGCTGTAGGTGTGGAGGAAGAGATAGAAAGCGGGGAGAAGATATGGGCGGAGATGCGAGGGGTTTGGACAGAGCGGAACGGGGAGAGGGGGGTTGGATGGGCAAGGTATGTTTGTGTGATGTCATGAGGTTCGGGAAGGATGCATGCTGATGACTTCTGTAGCAGATCAAAGCTTTTCAACCAATGTTGAGTCCGGTCAGGGAGAAGGAGAAGATGTGATGCTGAGGGAGTACGAAAACGGGAAGCATCTCGTGTATGGTACAAGGAATCGCGAAGTGAATCCTTGATCTCGACACTCCAGCATCTGATGCGACCAGTTCGACGCGAAACCTTTGGGACATCTGCACATCAGAGGAGAATATGACGCCACTGTCGCCAAATCCTGAGCGCGCTTGTCGTGCATTGCGGGCCAGAAGCCATCCAAGACATTTCCACGTCTTGAAGTCGGAGTCGCACGACGGCTATGTCTATCGTGCGAGCGGGTTCGCTAGTGATGTCTTCCATGTTCGGCGTTCCCAGGAGTCGAGAAGACCAATAAATTGGCCGACATTTTGTAGAACCGAAATGCGTATTGCCGGTCTGATTTACAAGTGGTGAATCTGGCTACGGGAAAATAGAAGCCAGGCGCCTATATTGACGTTGGGTCAATTACTTTGCATGTTTTCATGCTAATGTAAGGCCTACATTGCCGTCAGGTCATTTACTTTGCATGTTTTCATCTTCGTATAAAGCCTACATTGTCGCTGGGTCATTTACTTTGCATATTTCCATCTAGATATAAGGCCTACATTGTCTTTGAGTCATTTACTCTGCATGTTTCTATCTAGACGTAAGGCCTACATTCTCATCTTGATGTAAACTGCAAACCTACCTACTCAATCATCGTCCTCATCATCCTCGTCCTCCCCAAACTCAACCCCATACTCCGCACAGACATCCCACCGATCCCCCTTCGCACTCTTACTAACATACTTGGTGAACCGCAACACACCCCGATCCCTCAGCACAATAGCGAGATTATTCCACGCAGCAGGTTGACTGAACAAGATACCATCGTCCTCATCATCAGCCGCAGACTTGTAGATAGCAGGATCAGCCTTTGCTTTGCGACGTTGACCTGCACCAGTAGACGTTGAGGCTTCGCCGGTAGGCACGCTGGGGTGATCGGCATCGTCTTCGCCAGCCATGTACATTTCGTAGCCACCGACCTCCTCTTCGGGCTTGGGTTCTAGTTCTTTTGCTTTGCCTTTCTTTTTGCTCTTTTTGCTGCTACTGCCGTTTTGCTTGGTTTCTTCCTCGGCGCCTTCCTCGGGCTCTTCGTCTTCGTCGCCCCAGCCGCGGGAGGGCGTGATGCCGAGGCAGACTTCCAACTGGGGGTCTTCTTCCTCGTAGGCGGTTGCGAGTGTGTAGTCGAGACCTCGCCGGAAACGGCGCGCGAAGATGTTGCTCTTGGTGAGTGTGATACCGGTGACAAGAGAGATCCACTTCATGAACGCTGGGTGCGGGAAGAGGATGTCGACGAGGTCGTCGTATGGTGTCATGCCGTCGTTCTCGGGGTACGGTGTGGTCGGTATTGGCTGAATAGCTTTTCGGTAGAGATAGCGCTGCTTGTGTGGCGGTCGTGCGACACCAACCATCGACTCCTTGGAGTGCGGGTTGTTGGGTAGGCTTGGGTTCGCCTCGTGGTCTTTCGACTCAAGATACTCTCGTAACCGCGCGGAGAACTTGTTAGACAGGAACTGTGCAAGTCGTAACGACGACTCGTCGCCAAACATGTTTGACAGCTCCTCCACTGTGTCCGGAACGAGGTAGTTCGGGTTCATGAACTTGATCAAGAAATCAATGTCGTTCTCGGTCAGCTCGTCGTCCTCTTGTTTCGCCTGCTCTTCCCAGTCTGGGTTGTCGACCCAGTGTGATTGCGGCTCGTCGAAAACGTCGGCCTTGCCTCCCTGCAGTTGAGCAAGCGAGCTCTTCTCTGCCAGCTTCTCTTCGAGACCCTCTTCGTAGCCTTCCTCGCCCTCTTGCGGAATGTGGAACCACCCGCTGATGGCCATGCGAACGCGACCACCGTCTTCTTCTGCCTTCTCTTCCAACCCTCTCCTGTAGACCTCCTCGACGTCGTGGAAACTCTCGCCAGGCTGAACGGTGAAGAAAGAGAGCTGATTCCATGCCGGAGGTATCGATAGCGAAAAGTCTGGTTGTGGCACCCTAACCTTGTCGCCGTCTGGTGTCTCGAGGTGCTCGGTTGGGTACAGTCGTAATGCGCCTCCCCATTCCGGCTTCCAAGGAATGTCAGGGTCCAGCAGATACAGAATCCAACTTACGCGCCGACTTCCGATGACGTCGTCATGGCAAAGCAAGTGACATCCTGGTGTGTATACATTCTGCGCCGCAGTCAGTACAGTTCCTCAGACAATGCGTCGCGCAACCTACCACTGCCATGTCCGTCTTGACTCCACTCAATGGCCCAGATCCTGTTATCGAAGATAGGTACTTGCGAAAGGCAGACGAGTACAGCGAGTCGCGCAGGGTGAGCAGGGAAGGCAGGCGCTTGAGCGCAGAGTCGTGGAGGCCATCGAGGTTTGCGAGATCGCCGGATTGGTGAATCTTGTAGATGTCTGTCTCTTTGGGCGTAAAGTGGATGTGCTCGCGGATTTCGTTGCGGACATTGCGTAGGAGAGTATCGTCGACGAGGTTATGAATTACGGCGTGCTTGTAGCTATGGTTCAATTAGAACGTCATGGGTCGAAGGTGTGGAGATTAATGCATACGGCTGCGAATCCGCGTATTCGCTCGTATATCCCTCGAGTACTTTGCTGTCGAAGAGACCGCTGCGGAAATTGTTATGCGCCTCGTCGTCGGAGATGGCTCTCTTCTTTTTCGCCTTGCCATGCGCAGGCGCCTCATTTTTGCGCTTAGCCATTGCGGAGGTTTAGCGATAATTCCGGCAGGTTGGGAGAAAGTTCAGCTGTTGCGGAAGAGCAATTGAGGGAAGCTCGAACATAAATTTGGTCGGCCTTGGACGTGGAAATCGCCGATGCTATCGCCTGCCTCACACCACAATAGCTCCACCTAGCCGTCTGCAGCATCATGACGAAGATTACTTCCCAGCGTGGCCATGTTCTCCTCATGTTGACCGATCATGCTTCGGCGCAATAGCAGCTAGTGCTTGCGAAACTATGCTCAGATGCGTCCACGACCTCGTACACAGCTTGCGGGATAGGCACTCGCTAACGTGCGGAGAGCCAACCACTCCGGTTGGCTGATCCCCCGGGGAACATGTGTCCGGTGGCGTCCGGCGTTTAAGTTTAGTATCACGATGATCCATTCCCAGCCTTCATGTGAAGGATGACGACAACTACAGATAAACACGGTGTTGGTTTGATTGATTATGAGTAGCAACTGTCTATTGGGTATCTCGAAAGTGATCGACATGCTATAACCGGGTACGCCTACCGAATGCGCTGGGCGTCTCGATACAGGATTGTTGCAAGCATCTCGGGGGTATTGATATCCGCGTGACTTCAGCACAGCTGAGCTGGATCAAGGCAGTGGTGACCGCGATGTCGTAGTCCACACGGCACACCTACTCCTCCTGGCCTCCTGCAAGCAGCTTGGCCATCTTTTCCTCTAGCATCTTCACATCATTCCCAACGGTCTTGACATTGTTGACCGTGGTGGCCTCGGCCTTCTTGTAGTCCCTCTCCAGAACCTCCAGTTGGCGCTCCCACCGCTTGATCTCCTGCTCCTGCTTTGATTGTCGGCTTTCTACCTGAGTCAATACTTGATCGGCTTGCCAAGCACTTGTGTGCACGAGTCGCAGTGTGCGCAGACGCTCGAGGACCAGAGGGAGAACGGGCGACAGCTTATCGATGGAAGGCAGTGTGCCATACAGCGCGTTGATCTTAGCCTCTTGGTCTGGATAGGTCACCGCCTTGTTGTCGCCAGAATTTGAGCTAGCCTGTGCAGCTTCATGCCGAACTTCCTTCAGATGCTCCGCTTCTGCTGTGAGCTTCTTGACGTTCTGTGTGACGGCGTCCAAGTTGTTGCTCGAAGCATCCCCAATCAAGCTGAGCGTCTGTTCCAACCTCGTCAGAGTAGAAGCAACAGGAAAAGGCGTTTGGTCACTGAGCTCCGGCATTGTGTTCCCGTTGAGGCCCAGATTGTTCTCAATCTGCGTTATGCGCTTATCAAACTCTGCCGCGTGGTTCAGCACTACTTCGAGCTGACCCCTCTGAATCTGGGTGCCTGGTAGCGGCGGCTTGTTTGCGATGGCTT